GCATAAATGTGTCTTCAGACTTTGATAGAGGAAACACTTTTCATCAAAGCTGTGTCACAGATTTTCTCATCCAATCGGTGTCTTTTAAAGTTCATCAAAAAGCTGAGATGAGCTTACGGATTTGCATTATTGTATAAAAGCAGCCACAAATACACAGTTGTAGTAAAACACCAAAGAAGTAACTGAAGAAAAATACAATTTGGTAAGTGGATTTCTTAGTAATAATGTTTGCTTTAAAAAATGTCATTGTTTCTGTTACTATTATTGTTTATTTTATTTGAGCAAAGTAATATAAAATAAAATATAATTAATAATATCTTGTTTTTACTTGGTTCTGCAGTGAAGAACATAAATATTAAAATTGTAATTTGTCAAAGGTGTTCACCCACTTCACAGAAACTGGCAAAAAGGTAAAAAGTCTGAAATGGGCAATTCTGCAGAATTAGTGATCTTACTTTTTGTACTTTAATTATATTTTGATGCTAATACTTTTGTACCTAAATCAATATTTTTGAATGCATGAGTTTTACTTGCAATACAGTGTGGTATTGCCACTTTTACTTGATTTGTATAGCAGCAGTCCAACAGACTCTGAAAAGTGGAGGATCTCATTAAAAGTTTTTTTTAAATGTTTGAGTGCAAATTCAGCCTGTTGGACATTTATTTTGTCTACAGTTAAAGTCAGCATGGACAAGACTCTGTTGGTGATACTCCTGCTCTCAGGTAAGGAATGATAGATGATTAGTTAATGGAAACAAACCATCAGGTAGTCCTATGTTTCAGCTGTGAGATGTTTTAGGTATTTGTACATCGCATTGTGTCCAAACAAAGGAACATAGATATTTTTGAGTAAAACAACATTATTGTTTAAGTTTGACTTTTCAAATTTCACATTTCAAAAAATCCTCTTCCCTCCTTAGGTATCTGCGTCCCCTCCACCTCCTTTAAAAACGTCTACCACTTTATCAAAACGAACATGACTTGGGATGAAGCATCTCAGTACTGCATCAGAGAGCACACAGCACTGGCCCAAATACACAACATGGAGAATGCCTCCGCAATGATGAACACTCAGACTGCGGGGTACACAGACAAGGCCTGGATCGGACTGTTGAACTCTTCAGTGTGGACCTGGGTGGATGGAAAACCAGCCACCTTTTTCGATTGGGGAAATGATCGGCCAGAAAACGTTGACACTGATAATGCCTGTGTGACCATCGACACATTTGGAAGTTGGAGCTTTGACAGCTGCTCACTAGAGAAATATTTTGTTTGACAAGATGGTAATTAGTGCAGTTTTGATATACCTGAGTTGTAACCTCACTCCATTACATTTATTTGCCAACTCAACTTACTTTGCAGAAGTTTTTTTTTAATTCTAAAACTGCAATGACATAGTAACATAGTTTCTATTGCTCTTTGTTCCAAAGATGATGAAGAGGTCTTTATTCAAAACATTTCAGATGTTAAGCTTAAATTGCTATATACATATATGTATGTACAAATATTATTATACATTTAAATATCATCCGTGGTCAAAGAAGTCCAAATAATCTTAACTAAAAGTACAAAAAGTATAAGCAAGTTAATATACTTTAATTACCAAAACATTTAGTTTGTTTAGTTTTGACAAGTTAATACTAACTATCCCTATGGTCCCTTTCTCATGGTACATTGAAAGAAGATGTTGAACTTTTACTTCCACTTTTTTTTTATCTCCACAGGTTTTGATCTGTTTGCTAGTGAGACAGGAAAGACTTGGAATGATGCCAAAACCACATGTGAAGAAAATAATAGGGTTCTAGCCAGAGTCAATAACAAATAATATGATCGATAGAGTATCGTCATATGTGAAATCAAAAGCCACATGGATTGGCCTCACTAGTTCTAAAATCTGGCATTGGTCAGAACTCAGTCAAAACGACCACTTCACAAACTGGGAAGAAGGACAACCTGACATCACAAACGGAGAAGACAGTTGTGCAGCCGCAGTGTTGAAAGATGGAACCTGGACGGATGAGCCCTGCGACGCAATGTACCCTTTTTTCTGCTATGGAGGTATGACTCACTAAAAAATGTCCCGTTGTCGAGCTTCAGATAGAAGACACAAGTGGCATGTGCAGAATGGTTTTATTACACAGAGAATGGAAAGCTATCAACATGGGGGAGTTGTTTGGTTGCTGTTGTTCTCGCAGATTTGCAGGGGGGCGGGGGTATTAACCACTCCATATGCAGATGGGATTATCAATCAGTTGTTTTGTTAAAAAAAATCTGAATCGCTGCCTGCTGTTTGTGACCGTGTGCAGTTCCCAAAGCCCGGAAAACCGTGGTGAGAATGAGTATCAAGTCCAGCGCAAACATGGAGGATCCAGCCTGCAGTGCAGAACTGCAGCGGCAGG